TCAGTTCATCGTCAAGTCCTCAGGAACGGAGTACCCGGAGAGGAGACCAGACCAATGATCACACAGGTAATGATGCTTGGAAGCCTGACGTGACCTCTTTAGGCCTCAGGGCTTGTTTTCTTTGTTATTTCCTTTTTTTCTCGTAGATTTGTCGTAAAATATGTCCTGGGCCCGTAAAAGAATTCCCAAATGAGAGATGCACGCTATAGATGTCTAAATCACAATACATACTATATGAGAGACATTACCGCCATTTATACCATTAGATATAAAAAAATCACCATGCTGATATCTCAGCAAGTGCACTGATTTTCTCAAATGATCATGTACATATCAAAACATATTTCTTGCAATACCAAATGGATGAGGTCTGTAGATACCGTTTCAATTGTTTCTTTTTTTTTCTTTTTTTTTTTTTCAAATGCTTGCACGGTTAATTCAAGGTTAAAGTGAAAGAAACTTTTCTTGAATGAGGGCCCACCACTCCTACCCTAAGATGGTTGATAGATGTAGGCTAAGGTCTGTGCAGAGCCTGCATGGACAGCATCATTAGATTCAGCATAAGGGCTGTTTTCATATTGTCTTAAAGGCCCAGCTTGGAAAACCAGAGTACTAGTACTACTGTACCAAAATGTTTAAAACTGAAACTTTACTAACAAGGGGCGCTGCAGGGTAATGCGTCATTTAACCGATGACCATATCACAAGAGCATCCACTAAAAATGCTTTAGCCCGACTTGTTTGTGTTTGTTGATCATTTCCATTAATGAGCCTTTAATACAGTACTGTGTACAGCTTCCTGAGAGTTAGCTAGCTACCGTTCTGAAAAACACACTACACATCTAGCTATCTGCTCATTATATGTATACAGAGTAGGGATGCACCGATAACCAATACCCTACTGAGCCAATATCTGGCGGAAATGAGATACCTTACTGTATATTAACCCATAAGACGTGTTTTACGTGTAAAGTCAAATTCTCACGATGTTGTAACAGCTTTATTGTTTTGTAAAAGTGTTGTCTGATATTTTAGGATGAATACTTGTGTTAAAAGTGCATCCCTAACAAAATGCAACATGGATTACACCTAAATATAATGTAGTAAAATCAGTTGTTTTTCCATTGTGACGTTGCCCGTCAGATAAACTGCAGCTGTCTCACAGATCACCTTGTGTGGTTGAATTGCTCGGTGAAATGGATTCAATTACTTCTCAGGGTTTATAGTATGATCGTGTGCGCCCCCCTCCCATCCCCCAGCAACTGGGCAAAGCATGCCAATTTCTCATATGAAAACAATTAAGTGTGTGCTTTTATTACACAACTAATTTCATTCTCATGACGTCTCTACCCAGGTTCAGTTACAGTATGTCAGCCTGAAGTGCTGCTCTGAGAGGGATAAGAGCCCCATGGTGCTCTGGATTACAGCAGCCTACACTACAGTAATGTGCAACCGCAGCTTGTCATGTTAGAATCTTACTGATATCGTGACAATCAGTGTCACTGATGCAGACATATCAGGTGGCTACAGCCTACAGAGGCTGTAACTGTGCTCATGGGTACAATGGTGAGTCACAGACCTCATTCTGGCAGCGCCATTAAACCGAGTACAGAATGCCTTTGCAGGTATTTTCATATTTATGGAGCAGGTGCTAATTTTTTTGTTCAAAGTAGCACATGATCGAATGATTTAAACCAGGAAACACAAGACCACAGTATCTCCCTGGTAATCACTTGAGTTGTCCTATTAGGTGTGTCAAGCCAATCACTTCTGGGTTGTCTTGTTTGTAACGTCTTGTACAAATTACAACTTTTACGTTGCTGGTGTAGCAGTGATATCTGTGTCAAATGTGTCAGCAAATAATTAATGCCACAGATGTTTTGATCACAACCAATGACACTGGTGGCTTTGTCTGGAGTGCTACATCAAGGTACATTGTTGTTGGAGCAACAATGATCTGGTTGATATCAGTGTCATGTCACAATGCTACATAAAACAATCCTCGTTTGTATACATATATATATATATATATGTATATATATACTTTGACATTTTGTGTTATTATTTTATTACTGTAACGCATGGTGGTTATTTTATAAGTTGATTCCAGTATTAATAGACTTAGTGGGCCTCATGCAAGAATCATCAATCAAAATCAAAAACTGCAGTTCCTCTAATGGCCACTTGGGGCTGGCACCAAGAGTAAGTCAATCCCCATAGACCCCCATGTAAAAATGCCCAACTTTACAGCAGAAATAAACATGTTTACAGCCTGGTACAGATAAAGAGTTATAGCTTATTTCCCCATTCAGAACAACTGCAGGGTTTGTACTTTCATATAACTCACCCATTAAATGTTATTAAGGCTTAACGCTTCAGATAATTAAGGGCATGGCCACTTTGAGTGACAGGGGGGTGCCATCCGTTGACAACTTGCCTCTGTGGCAACAACGTTTCTCAAGTAATGTGACCATGGTATAACCCGAGATTCACAGAGTAAAGGCTTAAGGTAGCTGGTACTACTTCAGAGTGTTCTCAGTTCATGAAAAAAAAATTGTAATATTTCGTTTGCCTTAAAAAAATTGTTCAGTTACTTAAAGGTTCTCTAAGGAGTTGGATATTATGTTTTTCCTGTAAACACGTTTTATTTTTTAAAGTTTAAGCTTGTTTTTCACTGGGAAAAATAAGCATTAGCATTAGTATTATCACAGTTATCCATAGATGTAAATAGCCATAGCTGTAAGTGCTAACTTAGCTAGCAGCTAGCATTAGGGTTATCGCCATCCTCTAGTCCAAATATGGTTACTTCTGTCTCCAAAACAACATGGAGACGACCAAAATGCCAAACTCGAGCCTTCAAAACAGGAGTCCACAAACTATTTTAGACAGTCTATGGTTTGGACCTGTTGTACCAGTCATGAACAGTTAGGCTACCCTACGTTTCCTCACAGGGAGGAAAAAATGAATGAATTTCAAGTTCAAATACATTACCGAAATCAGCTGAAAGTAAAATAAATATTTTGTTTAGCTCGCCAGTTTAATGAGAGGATGGACAACTTTATATCTTCTTTTTTGTTTTTTATTGATTTATGATTCTTTGACACATTTTTACATGGCACCTTCTACAGTTCTGTAGTAGCTCACTCTGTTAGCTGCCACAAGGTCCACGTCCAGAGGAGCATCCTCTGTTGCACACATCGTTGTAACATCTTCTATTATATAATAATGTTCTTATAAAATCTCTTGTCACATTGCCTTGATTGCCTCCCTCCAAGTCAGTGACTGCTTTTCTTTAGCAAGCCGTTATTTTCGCAGCTAACTTTATGCCAAACCATTCTCACATTCTGAAATCTTTTTATTCTTTGGTAACATTTTTGATAGGGTTGAGTTCTCTGATGAAACGAACATCCGAAATGGAGTATCATCTGAGTATATATGCCAATATCAGTATTTGTGATGAAGGAAAATCCTAAAATTACTCTTGTGATCAAAAATAATCTGAAGCTCAGTTCTGAGGCTGTTCGGGAAATTGATTTTTCTTTTTTTTTTATATATATAAATACAAGAACTTCTGGGCCCGTATTCACGAAGATTCTCAGAGTCCTCTCAGAGAGCTCCTAACTTAGCCTAAAAATTCCTTGCAAGGAATCTTAGCTTAAGAGTGATTCAGGAAGTTTCTTGGAGCAACTCTGAGCAACGAGGGGACAGAAACTTTTATCTTAGTGAGGAGGTGTGGTTGACCCCGTTGCTAGGTATGACGCAGTCCTCTAAAAGCTGTGATTGGTTGTTACAAAGAGGAAAAAAGAAAAACAAATGCGTTCCTAGTAATGAATGGACAGTGAAATCAACCGATCATAGAACTTAGACTGTATTAAGAAATGTGTAATCGTGAAAATAATTTTATGCCATGATGATGAAACTCAGCAAAATTAAATTAATTGTTACACAGCTTCAAAATGTTTGAACGTACCTCATTCACATGCCGATTATTATATTTACGATTATGTTTACTCGCCATGCTGGTAATTTTACTACTTAATCTATTTGATATTAATGGTGGACGCAGACTCAGCTGTCAGCAATTACTGTGATTGCTGGCTCCTTGTAAAAAGCGGTTTGATTTGGCGGAATGACCAAAACAACGAACGAAATGGAGAAAAAAAGAACGAGAAAGCCGAACTGGACAGAAGAGCAGTGCCTGCTGTTGGCACAGCTCGTGGAGGAGAACAAAGGAGTGTTAAGAGGGAAATTCGGTCCCGGGATCACGGCACAAGGGAAGAGGCAGACTTGGGAGCGCATTGCCCGACAAATCAATGCGTCGTTCCCTGTCCTTTTATGCACAAGCGATGAGTGTGAGAAGCGCTGGTACGTGCTGCAATCCAAAGCGGGCGTTATTGCGTTACTACGCTGGGTGGGAAAAGTAAGCTCATCCCTGATGAGGTCAACCACAAACATTATCCCTGCACTATCAAGCGGGTAGCGTCTTATTAAATCACTGTCGTTCAATATACGGAGAATATCTCTCCTTCCTCTCTGTCTTTCCGCCATCTTCTCCGTTTAAGACACTCTTAGGCTTCTTAAAAGTCCTCCTCCCTCCTCTTAACTGTTTTTCACCTTAGGAGCTCTCTTAAGGCCTAAGATGCTGTGTGAATAACTTTTATCTTACCAAGGGAAAATTCTAAGAAAAATCTTAGAATTCGAGGAATTCTAAGATTTTTCTTAGAATGACGTCACTAGGAGCTACTTTTAGTCTTAGGATTCTTTGTGAATACGGGCCCTGATCAACTCGTATTAATTTCATGGATCTAACAAACACTGACTCACCCGAGAGAGTGGTGTTCGCGTCCCATTTAATACTAAAGCCAAACCCTGTTCTTTTTTCCTAAACCTCCTGCCTAAACCCAACCATGTGCTTTTGTTGCGTAAACTTTATGTAGACTGTATGTAAATGTTAAATTTCCTGTGAAAACGGAAGTGTATCTTGAAAGAAGAGAACTCGACACGGTGTCACAGAATGTCAACAACCAACGCACCCAGGGTACCTTGCACGGCGTACATGGACGTGGAAAGTCTACGACCAAGCACGTCAATAAGTAACGAGGTCTCAGTGAGAATGTGTTGCAAGCATGCACCTCCATATGAACAGGTGACGCTCATCAGGTTGAAATTTAGTTTGCTGAATCCGATGTGGAACGCTCATATGACAAACTTCTAACAAACTTAAGTTAAATTGTTCTTGCATGAGACCCAATATACTGTAGTTTAATTTGGCTACTTTTAAGCTACTTTATCAGGGGGATGTGGCGGTGCTTTTGGAGGACGAGTATTTCTAAAATCCTGGCTACGGCCCTGCCTGTGCTGACATAAAACATTTTACATGGTTTCAAGGATTAAATGGTGGGACACCAAGTCACAGTATATTCTGCTGACTAATACTCATGTTACAGAGGCAGCATTTTGAGGCAATTTAGTACTCTTTAAGGACTTTTGTCTTCACTTTGGGGGTTATTTGATGTGATTTTGTTCCACTTGTGATTCCTATGACTACTACAAGCAGTGTTGCTTATTCAAAGAGGCAAATAAGTGACATCACCTTAAGACAATGCAGCACTTGGAGCTTCCCTCTGAGAGAAGGCCGACTCATACAGCCATATTCACACAGTCTTAAGACATCTGTAGAGTAAACTGATCACTGTATGCTGGAACCACAAACTGGAGTAAACTGCACACTGGTGAAAAGGTGTTACAAAGGAGAGAACTCAGACGAAAAAAAAAAGTGATTTCTAAGTCTGACTTGGACAGCTGCAATTCAGTTCAGCAATTAAACCTTTCACTATATATTATAGGGTGAGATACTACAGTAAAAGGCTTGTTTTGAGGCCGCGTTGAAGCAGGGGAGGCGTCTGTTTTTTTCTGTGTCAAAAAACTGTAATAGACAATCAGTTGGATTCACAGTCCCCTGCTTTTCTGTGGAATATCCAGCTAAGATATCAATTTTATTCCCATCTGTGTAATCCCACCAAATCAGTAGTGAGGAGTCATATAAACACGATGGATTTGCACATACTCCGATGCTCTTCTGGCACAAGGAACACTGAAACCAAGGGTAGAAATACTATACTCAAATGCATTAGAGTCAGATGAGGTTTTGTTGTCGGCTGTTTTTGTCAGCAGTAATGTTATTTACATTGTTAAGTATGTACAGTAGAGAATCTCCCAGAGATGTTAGGTTCTGTAAAGCTGCAATGGGGTACTCCTTTAAAACTCCTCACTTTTGAAAGTCCTTAGATGAAGAGCCATATACTGTAAGTCAGTGTTGAAGTGTTCTGAATGTTTAACAATGGACTTGCTGCTGTATTGCGAGTCTCGACTCTGTCATTGTACCAGGAGTATCGATAATCTGCTTTCCGAAGCTATGAATGCACACAACACACAAACTCAAAGTCATTAAATAGCAAGGTTTGAAATAAATCATCGTGAAATCATAGATGGAATTTATGGTTCTTCATCTTAAGGATTGAGTTTCACACACAAATCAAGACTTTAAATACAGTAAATCTTTTTTTTTCATCATAAAGGTATTCGTTGAGAAAGTCGAGTGTTAAATGCACTGTACAACCTTGTATACTTTTTTTTTTTCAAAATATAGTTTATCCCAGTGTGTTTTGTTGTTTTTTTTTTATCTTACAGAATCCTGTACACTTGGTGTCTGCATTAAGATTGGATGATATCCTGATCATTGGAGAGAAGAGAAGAAGAGAGCAGAGGGGGAGAAGAGAGGAGAGGAAAGGAAACAGAGAGAGAAGAGAAGAGGAGAGAAGTTGTCCAGTGCCATTGTTGCCCTCAGTGAAGACGCTGCACTCCGTACCTTGGCTCTCTTCTGTCCCGCACCTCAATCTGAAGAAAAAAACACAGGGGATTCTTATTATACTGATCTAGAGACTCAGGCCAAAGAAATGAAACATCATGAATGAACATATAGGTAAGATTTACAGGAAAAATCCACCAATGTTACACATTATAGGGACGTACTACTCAGTGAAAACAGCAATATAAGGTTTTCTGTGGCTCTCGTCTCAGAAAATATCCCAAGTGATGTCATCCTGACATTACAAGGGTTATCTTAGCTCAACAAAAAATGTTTACCCAAAGTACATGTTACAAACTGAGGGTGTGGAATTTTAAAAACATTGGTGATAAAGGGCAGGGAAGGTCTAATGAAAAGCTACTGTTGAGTTGCGTCATGGGAAGTGTAGGATCTGGTGTATTTGGAACATGACCTACATTACAGATTATCTCAACCTCTATTGCATCACTTTTGACCTTTCTTATTTAATTATGTGTCTTGCAAGTCCCTCAAAAGGAAATGTAATAGTTCATCTATGAAGCAGAGGCTCCAAAAGTGACCCAACAGCACCCTGAGGGGCCTTGAGGATAGGTGAAGGTTGCCACAAGATTTGTTTCAATTTTTTCCTCTGTACAACTTAATAACATTTAATCTCATCTAACCGCATGGTGATATTTACATTCACAAACTTGTAATATTACATTTTCATACATTTAAAAAAGAAAGAAATAGGCCACATCAAAATCATGATATAGAAAATGCTGGGTAACATATGATTATGGTGCAGCTAGGACGTGGTGGTTAGCCATTGTCAAGATCATCCCTTTTGTGTTGAGAAGTAGTGGTGACATAAGGGTTGGTTCAGATGAAAAATGGGATCTTAGGCAATGTAATGGGTGATATAACCATGAGGTCAGAGTACACAATTACAATGGGTCTGGAACATTTTTGCATAACAGCATCAAAGGGGCAAAAGCCTAGGCTACTACCAAAAGTCTAAGCTAGATTTTAACATTGGTGGGGACACATATGCAGTAAGAGGTCTGGGGATCCTCCATGATTTTGAAAATAAAAACGTCATTTCCTGCATTCAGGTGAATTTTTATGCACCGTGTTCACCATGTTTTCGTTTGGGAAAGTAACCTTTTAACATGCATGTGACACCTTTTTAAAGCAGTGACACATTTTCTTTTATTAATTAATCAATTAATTTAGTAGTTGCACTGGTTGTTTCTCCCTAGGTATGACACTTAAGGCTTAATTTCACCTTAGCTGAGGGACTTACACAGTTGCACAGAATCCCTGAAAAGGTTTCCTTAGTTAATGGAAAAAAGTTTCTATGGAGACTGTTTGTTTGCCTGGACTCAGGCTTGTGATGCCTGGTATCATCTCACAAATTTGGCTTATAGTTATGGCAGAAGAAAAGAAGACAAGAATACCATATTGGTCAGAGAAGGACAGGATTATACTTCTGGAGGAATACAATCATAGAAAGCACAGACCACAAAGTAAATTTGATCCAAATACCAGAAAAAAAGAAAACAATTGTAGGAGGAAATTACAACGAACATTAATTTTGTCAGATCTATATTGTAAACTCAAAAGCATATCCGTCTGGTTCTCCTGGTTGCAGAACACTCTTCTTGGAGTGTGTTAGTTTTTTTTCATTTATCACCATAAACTCCGTCATGCTGCAGTTACGATGGAATCAGAGGTACCTTAAGTTTTTTTTAATTCTGCCGTGGTTGCTAAGGTCTTTGTGCAACGGTCTAGGGAATCCTTAAGTATATCACCAAGACAAGGAGAAAAGCATATACACTTAAGTGAACACTTTAAGGAAACCTTAAAGAGAAGACTTAAGGGTGTTTTGTGCAACTGATTTTATCTTGAGGAAACCTTAAATGAGACTTTAAAGAAAATCTTAACTTAAGGTGTTTTGTGCAACCAGCCCCTGGATTTTAATAATAGCTCATATGTGTTGTCATGTTCACAGTGAGAGAATGAAAAGCACATTTGTTGCTTCTACATTTACGGTGGATTGTATGTTTTCTTATTATGCAAATAAACCTTTCTAGAAGGGTTCCCATTTGTTGGTTACCATTTAATGATGAAAGCTATTTTTTGAGAATTTTAGCAAATTATGCTTTTGATAATGATGAGGCCAAAAAAACATTTCAAAACTGATGGGGACGTGTGCCCAGTGTAAATGACACTTACACTGGTTGTTATAGTAACACAATGTGCTAAGTCCAACTGTGCTGAAAACTTTTTTTTGTAGATAGTGTAAGCTGGCTTTTTTTTCACCTCATTTGCACAAATAACTATGAAATACAACAATGCCAGGCAGGTTTCAGAGACATCGGTAGACAAAACAAAGACACTGAATACTTCAGGCTGTTGTCATGCACTGTTCATACATATATCTAAGAAAAGTTATGCACCAGAACTCGTAAAGTCCACTAGTCATGAGCCAGTAATTTGCATATAACCCATGTAATTGTGAAAACTACAATAAATGTGCTGATAGGATTAAAGAAGGAAGCAGTATGAGGAGCCTAAGTCCACATGAAGGGGTAGTTTATGGTGGTAGGTGGGTCAAACGACATAAGATTTTCCCCCCAGGTAACTGGTGTTTGTGTCCTGTGTGATACCAATTTAACTTTGAGTTATTTTAAGGTATGTTGTCACTATGTTTCCTTGCCTAAACCTAACCTTCCTAACTCGTAGTACGTAAATTTAAGTACGTAACATGGCTACGCCAGTCAATGATTCTTTTCCTACACCTAACCTACACAACTTTACATTAAGAATGTAACTTTAAGTTAAGTAAGTAAAGTGACGACACCATTCTTTTGGCGCTAATTCTTAAGACATCATATGAACTGTTGTATGAGGATATGTTGAATACTTTAAGTGACTGGTATAGATGAAAAATAGAATTCATGCATAAAGTCATTTGTGGGTGTTTATTTTATTATTATTTTGTCCCCCAAATTGTAAAACTTAAACTAAATTTAATTTTAAACTGAGAGAAATAAATGTAATTTTAATTAATCTTAATTTTGATTTAATGTTTAGTTTTAATTCATTATTTATCTGCACAGCAATATAAAACATCTAACTCTGAGTAAGCCTTAATTATTTCATAACTGATTATAGATCATTACATCATATGTTAATTATGCGGGGTGCATATGAATGCCATAAAAAGAATAAATCACAGATATTACTGTCTCTCAGCAATAAATGACCATCCAGTCGGCTGGGTTCACAATCTGTGGGACTGTTGATGAATACTAGCAGGACACCCTCCTTCACCACCACTTTGCTTGGTAAAAAGTTAATGAAGCTTCACACAGGCACATGTGAATGTTTTCCTCAAATATAATGCACACGAAAAGTATAAAGGAAAAGTCAACTTACCCTTGACACAGCAAAATCTGCAAGGACAAAAGAGAACAAAAGTGTTGGCATAGACACAATGAAGCAAGAGCAGGAAAAGTGCATATTTGTGTAAAACAGGAATCTGCTTATGTAAGTATGAGTTAAGCATTTAGGTCATCACTTAGTGGAGAAAAAGAACATTCATGTCTGACCTATGTCCAGCCAAAATCCACATAATTCAGTCATTTCATTTCTTTTTCACAGGTGATTTATTTTTTCTTGACAACATATGTAGAAATCCAGTAAACTTTCTTACTGACCTAATCCTGAGTTACTTTTACCCTTTGTCACTTACATGAACAACACGTGCTTTCATGCACTGTCCATAGGGTGACACACAGTTTTGTTTTATCCGTTAATATAAAGAAGCTAAAGGGACATTCATTTCTATGAAAGAAACGTGAGCAAAGCATTAGGTGCATTAAATGTGTAAAATCACTGAGACTATCAATGAGGTTAATCAGATAAGAACAGAAAGACACGCCCCCGCTCTGGAATATCTCCAGTTACCATGGAAACCATCATGGAGATAGACCGTCGGAGAACCGAGACATCTTATGTCACTTTTCTCTCTCTCTTTATCTCCCCGTGTCTTCCTCACACTCCTCCTCTCTCCTTTACTCCATCCCGCTCTCTATCTGTCTGTATATCTCTCAGTCTACTATGTTTTATGTCACACATCTCTCTCTATCTCTTTCACCCTCGCTCTGTTTCTTTTTGTGTTGTTGCACATTGAGCTTATGGAGTCAAATCAAACATAAACCTTATGTAAGGAGACTTTTTATTGTTTTGCATTGTCTCTTGCCCCTCCACTGCCTTCTTCTTCCATCCCTTTCCTCTTCTCCCTCTCTTTTCATACGGCTGAAACAATTGCAATTCAAGTGTCCTGATGCAACATCATGCAAACTGTCAGAAACCCTCTGGAGGACGTTCTCCCACTCTTGAATACAGCACTGCAAGCAATTTGGCTGGAGTTACTGAGGTCAGGTTGGAGTGGAGTCATTTTTCAACTGGGCAAATCTTGTTTGTGTTAATGGCCTCACAGTTAAAGCCTAAAAATAAAAGCCGGAGGAAGGTTGACTGTCTAACCTACCTTTAGGGACATTGTGTTACTGTATAACACTCTGTGCTCTTCTGTTTTATTTTCTGTTTCATTTATATTCTTATTCAGGTTTATGATTATGTGCTTTTACAGACTATGAATTGGATAAAAGCAGCTAATAGATAGTAGTGCAAAAAGTTGTTATCTTTTGATTGATCATATTAGATCTTTCAGTTTCATCATATATCCATCAGAACAACAACAACAGCCATGAAAAGTGACATCCAGGCTTTCTGTGCAGGGGGTTGTGAGTGATACTCACATCTCAAGAGTTTGGAAGGTGGTGTCTTTAGAGCCGTAAAAAGTGTTGTTGTGTGCTCTACTATCATGAGTTCTTTCTAATTAAAGCCATAGTTGGTAATCCTGTTCAGAAACACTTCTTGTTATACTGGGTGAAATGGTCCTTCCATCCTGAGAGTAGTCAATACATAATGTGTTCAGAAAAAGGAATGAAAAAAATCCTGTGGCAGCTGCAGGCCTGTACAAACTCTGACCAATCCCTGCCATTCGGTGCGAATGGAAAAAACCAGTCAGATGCCTTCATGTCTCGTCCTGCCCAAGCCCACCTCCGTCCCTCCCTCCCTCCTCCCTGCATGCACTCATCACATGTCACCGTTGCTGGAAATATTCAGCACACTCCTCAGCAGAAATACCGAGTTAGCAGGAGTTTGCTGCACAATGGCAGAGAAAATGCAGCCAAAAGCAACACTTCCAGCATTACTTGTAACGGCTCGCCCCTCTAAACAGGCTGAGAAAGGAAAGTTAGAGGCAGAAAAGGCTGCGACAAAAAAGGCTTTGGATAAAGCGAGAGGAGAAACATCAACAGCAGTCCAGCTTTTGAATGGTGGAGACAACTGAGGGAGCTGAAGGGCCTGAAAAGTGATGCAGAGGTCGCTGTCTTTCTATTGGACAGGTAATTATTTGTTTGCTTTGGGGGGATTTGTTATTTTACTGGGCTCTCCTCTGCTCTGCTGACTGCAGGATACGCGTTCAGGCATGTCTGGGCTCGTGATGTTGGACGGAGCACTGACGGGAGGGGGAGCAGGGGGTCGAGCTTAGAGGAGGTGCCGCTTTCAAATCTTGCTAGCTCTCCAACATTACCAACTATGGCTTTAATGTGAAGGAAATTGCCCTCTCTAAAGAAGTGACGGACTCGATGTGAGGAATCGAGTCTCTTTAATGCCTGCAGCATGGAGAGAAGACCCAAGTGTTCTCTGCCAGCCTTCAGAATGCACAGACTTTTATAACAAAATGAAGCTCTGACCCCAGTTTGCACCCACCAGCTGCACTCGTAAAGAAGAATGCCCCCCCATATAACAGGTTTATCAATACGGGAAACCTCCCCCTACCAAATGAAAGGTCATGGGTTCAAGATTTAGAGAAGTGCCCCCCATTAAAGATTCCTGAATAACCCCCACATTAGCCAGTGGTTTTGCCTGGCCTAGCTCTCCATCCCTGTCCACAGCCATGTGCTCTGCTCTCACCTGCCACCTCAAACCCTCCAGTACATGTTTTTTTTAGACTTTTTTGCAAGTCCTGAGGCCCTAACTGTGAAGCAGGATTTAGAGTTAGCGAGATAACTTCTGGGTTAACTCTGGGTTTTAAGTACTATGAAGCTGGTTCTCTTTTTCCTGGAATAAATCACGGTGGCAACTTACGCTGATTATGGTAAGTTATGTTTAGGGTGTAAGATCACAGCCTGTCAACATCCCGACCTCTGACCAATCACTGAAGAAAAAGTATTTATGGACGAAAGTCTGGAGTGTTAGGTAAAAAAGAGGACCCTATACCATATATTGTTATAGGTCAGTAGAATCACTTCACGGTTTCAGGGCTATGGACAAACCATAAGGAAAAGATATGAATAATCTATCTATCGGCCAGGGTACTCTGTCTTCCAACTTGTCAAATACAGCTGCTTGGTCAGTGGCCCTGCCTATAGGTTTACAACTAACTGTATATTTACATGACAAGTAAATGTTGCCCAAATCCATTGTTTTGCTCTCTTTGCTCTAATGTAACACTAATATAATTTTTCATAGTGTAGACAATCTGATCCAATCCAATCAGATCAGGGCCACTTTCATGCAGGGTCCTAAATCCACTACATATCCAATAACTGGGCATGAGGTCCCCATGGGAACAGTCATATCGAAATTCATGTGTATTTTTTACCTCCATGGTTTTTCCACGTCATAATTCAACCAGGTTTATTGTTACACTAACGGCTGGACATGTCCCGAACTATTGATAAAAAAGTACTTGCTTTTGTTGCAACAAAAATTGCTAGATATATCCCTAACCCTCATAAAAACAAATCTCTGCCGGTCTGCTGCTGTCTGCTGCTTGGCAGCAATCTGGTCTAGATGTCATGCCATCCATCATCCCCTCCTCCTTATGAGAAACTCAGCTCATATAGGCCTACATGTAATCTGAGCTACATATGAAACAATTAAATGTAGCATATCCCTGGTTTTGCAGAAACATACGATGCCGACATGTTATTATGGCAACTAGGTTGATCTCCTGCATGGCTCATCAGCTGGTGATGATGCCTATTTTTCCTTCACTAACCTTTGTTGTCTGTCTGCAAATCATCAAGGTAGAAATCTGTCTGCCGGTTGCCCAGGACGAAGGCCAGGAAGGAGAGGATGAGGGCGTCCAGGATGCCCATGATGGCCAGCATATAGGCCCAGCGTACAGAGCAATCACCCAGGGAATATTTCCCCGTCTGCTCCCCGCACATGTCCCGGATCACCTCGGCGTCCCATCCGTCGGGGAAGATCATGCAACCCAGCACCAGGCACACTCCTGCAGGAGGTCACAGAGGAGGAGAGAAGCAAGGTTAAAGTGAGAATTGCGATTGGGAGCATGAGCTAATATCGTAACTGACAACTTCGGACCACCGTTTTTATTGTCTCTCTTGCATGACATAAATGGTTTTCCAATCATCACTAAAGTGCATACGAATTTTCACCAGATTATGAAATTTGCAAATATGCTATTTCCTCAATTGGAGAATAAAAGTTGTGCAGTGTCAATCCAGTGCACTCAAGCAGGACTACGCCTATGCCAATCAGTGTTTCACAGGTGTGATGAAGAACGGAGACATCATCTTTCATAGCAGGTTGCAGTGTCACAAATTCAGTGGCTTTCTCACTAGATTTGGTGACTTTTGAGAATTTAGTGCCTCTAGTGTCTTTTTTTAGCTTCTTTCTGGGCAGTGCTCTCATGTGGCTGTGTCTCTCTGGACTGACTGTGTTCAGTCTGGGGAAGGCAGCAGAGCTATCAGACAACCAATCATCAACCAGACAAAAACATGAATAAGCTGTGAATGTGTGTACATAACCACCAATCAATGATTACCATTGTTTGTCCCAGAAACTTCTCCTTTGTTTTTGTTGTAAATTATTTAACTTGACTTGACCTTGATTTAACTTATTTCTTCCCCCAAAATACACAGAGTTTTTAAGAGTTTATTGAAAAATATTGAGTAACAGAGTATATAAAATAAATAAAAGATAGAGGTAGATTTAGATTCTTATTGATGAGATGAGCATATCTTGAAAATGTAGCCAGTTAAATTTAGTATGAGTCTTTTTTTTAGTTTCTGTATACATTATGAAAAAACATGAATTATGACATCACAGATATGCTCATTAGCATGCAAGGTTATACAACAACATCTACTGACTTTTCGATCAGGCTTTAGCTACTTTCCTTTGAGAATAGGGAGAAACTAAACTGACTCACTGGGTGCACCTACCCAGTAGACCTGACTTGCTTTAAGACCCGTCCCTACTCTGCCTCTGATTGGCTATACTGTTCCAGGTGTTTGCTAAACACTAACGTTAGTCTTGCTAAGATGCTAACTGGTGCTACAAACTAGAAAGACTCAGGAACAGAGCAACTCAAACTGGCAGCTCATGTTTTTGTTCCCGTGCTCCGAAGATAGGCTACCCAGTCCAAACAACAGTAAGTCTTTACAATTTTTATAAACTATTTTATCATTACATTCACTTCTGATAATCTATTAAGCTAAAAATCGACTGTGTAATTTCAAATATTGGCCATTTTCAATATGTTTTTGGAGTTGAGAAGCTCCACAAACTAGTATGACAGCATGCTAGCACCGGCAGGGGTCGCTAGCTAGCTTTCTCAAGAGACCCATCTTGTAGATGCACCTGCAGGTTAGCATTAACTTACTTCCAGTATCCTGGGAACAAAAATGTAACCACCATGGCTAAGTCGCTCTCCTCCCAGGCCTGTCTACCTCTTAGCATTAACATTAGCGTTTGGTGTAACGGCATGTGAGCACCTGCAGGGGTTGCTTGCTAGCAAGCTGTGTTGTTACACAGGCAGCTGTAAGCTGACTGGAGCTTTCTCAAGAGACTGTTTTTATGGATGCACACACTGGGTTAGCATTAACTTCATTCCAATATCCAGGGGGGGAAACAGTAAGCTACCGTGGCTATTTCGCTCTCTCCTAGGCCTGTCTACATCTTAGCATTAACATTAGCATTTAGAAAACACCTGGAAGAACATAGCCAATCAGTTACAGAGTAGGAGTGAGTCTTCCTGCAAGGCATACTGGGTAGGCATGCCCAGTGAGTCAGTTTAGTCTCTCCCATTGGAAATGTTGGAAACAATATCAATGTATTTCCTTAATGATTTAAGTGAACATCTCCTAGCAACCACAAGCACAGCTTCTGTGTCAAATAGTAATGATCCAGGTGGGATATCACTTGCTACACACTGATTAGGGAAAAAATACGTATGAATTCCAACATCTCTTCAGGTGTTAAGGGGTTAACAGTGAGACAGTAGAAAGATGGAATACATGCACTGTATAGATTTTTCCCCTGAAGATAATTGTATATGCGACAGAATTTAAAACATACAGATCACAGCAGAACCTGCATGCACTCACACCCACAAACACACATACCTGCAGACACATACTGTACAGTACAAAGCCCTCTAGGGAAATGCTTACATGCAATTCCAACACTGCAACAAAAAATGGTAATCTATACTTTACACCTTTGCTCATTCATCAAAGTGAGCATCACTGGGGAGCTGATTGTGCCGTATTCCTTGCTCACCAGCACTGTTTAAATAGCATTCAGCCTGTGCCTGAGGGGATGTAAGTAAAGCAGTGGGCTCCACTGGGAGATAGGGAACATACATGGCAGACGTCACACTGGATCTTCATTGCAGACTAGACATGTCTTTTCCATGGGCAACATCACTTGTGATACACATGAAAAGTCAGACAGATTTGGCTGAGTTGGTGATTATTACGCTTCAGTCCAATAAATGTTCAAAAGATTCAATGTCTGGAACTCCATTGGTGAGCATTTGTAAATATTTTAAGTGCCATGTGTGTTATATGTGTACTTTAGGATGCTGGGCAGCAACCAAAAACAGAAGCTGCCGTGTGGAATGAGGCGTACACTAACACAGAGGGATCACTGACTGAAATGTGAAACAGAGGATTATAGCATTGGGGTTTTTAGTAAATTCGGCCGCTAAACATATGAAGCTGAATGTTTCCGGGTGGCATCCAAGCCTCAAAGGTCAACAAGTTTAGACATAGTACTGATACATTACTCGGGGCGGCACGTGTCCCCCTCAATGTATATGGTGACTACGGCCCTGTCATGTATGCATAATTAGGCTGCAGTTGTTTGGGTGCACAAAGGTGAAGTGGCTGGTCTTGTCATACAAAGTTTGATGGAGTGTCAGCTGGACAATATGGAGATATTTGCATCTTGAAAGCTGGACTACAAATGTGGATAGACAGGGAGAAACACACGCAAGCCTAAGACGTGGTAAGATACGATATTCCTCACTATATGAAGTGACTGATAACAAGATCTGTATAATGGATTGTAAAGAAATTCGTCAGGATCTTATTTGGTAGACAATTCATCTGGATTTATAGCATGATGGGATGACAGCATAATAATGTGTGTGGTATCATTGGAAAGCTCTGGTCCTGTGCTTTCATGTGATGTGTGTGGCATTTCTGTGCGAGCCTGCATTCGCGAGTAATCCATCCAAGAGTAATGTGTGTGCAAAGCTGTATGAAAGCTCTGTTATACGCCATTTTAGTGTAACTTTATCATTTTTTTTCGCTGTGAAAACATTCGGAAAGCTACAATTCCGCTGTTTCACGTGATATGCGTGGTTTCTTGCTATGACGCATGGTCGCGGAGAAAAACCATAGAGAAGAACAGGTGTGAATTTGGATGCACTATGCGTCGTTCTGGATAGACTCCTTGGCCTGCTGCTGCTGCATTTTCCCCAAAAAACGGGACAAATTGTGTCCCGGGAGAGATTTTTTTTTTTTCCCGGGACAGCTGATGAAAAAAGAGAACAATTCTGGGAAAAACGGGAAGGGTGGCAACTCTATCTGAAATGCTCTTTTAGAGTGGGTGGGCCTGTGGATGTGTTTGCTTGATAGTTGAGCCTGCAGGCACACTGAGACACAATATAAACCAACTCATGCTGGTAACTGAAGCTTACAAGCTAAGGACAAACACCATTTTGTATGACATTTACAGACATTTTTAGGGGTTCAGTTAAGTAAATAACTATCACTCCTGCAAACTGATTTTAGCAGCACGCTTTTTTGACTAAAAGTGTTCTTTTGGTAGCTTGTTCAGCATGTCAGGGGGCAGCACCTAGTGCTGGAGAGTGTCAAGGGTCTGGACCTCTAAATATATTGAACTTTAAAGTTTTTAGCTTTCCCAGTATTAGCAACAATGTGCCGCTGGAGATTCATATGGCCTAACCATCTCAGTGGTGAGCAAATACAGCTACAGGAAAACATGTACAGTCTCCACCTGCACTGCTTAAAGCAAGCTAAAGGGAGGGAAGATTAGTACACTGTTTAAGATTGCAGTGCTTTAATTCTGATTGCTGGCAGTTAACTTGTTTAACATATAAACACAGAGTAGGTGGGGGAAAGTGTTAGACTGTGATGCAGCGACTATGTCCTAGAAGCAGTAAATACCCAGTCAGTTCTCATTCCCAGGTTGTCAAATACCAACCCTTTTTTACACCCCTCGGCATCTGATAGCGATGCACAGGGCACCCTTTAGCGTATCTATGTAATGCACAACTGAAACACATCACTGCACAGGGTTAATGTGAAATAGTCATGGGTAGGTATGCAAAAAGACTACCTAGTAAGGTTTAGAACTGGGTTAAAATAAGTATGTTATGTATCGTAACGTGACATAAATGTCATAAGATGACATTTGTGTCACATGAGTGATGTCAATGCATGAAGACCGTATAAAAATTATACAACATTACACTAAAACAATGGTGACTTTTGGTTTCACTGGGGATGCAGGTACTTAAGGTGCGTTGCGTTGCATTAAAACAACATTGACTTTTGATTTGACGAGACACTAAGAGCAGTCTCATGGGTGAAAGTCCAGTGTTGTTGACCCATCCGGCTCCCCTCCCTCCTGCCCTATGAGGATTGTCTCTCTCTTTATACTATGTCAGTTGCTCTCAGTGTCAAGTATTGCTAAGAATGTTTTTTACATTGGAGTCAGCTGAAAGCCCTGTGCATCTCATAAAGACGCCAAAGGGGACCTTTGGTGTCCATATCACACACAGAGGGGCGTGACAAAGCATTGGTATTTGACAAAACAGGAATGAGAACAGGCTGAAATACCACTGCAGGTTCTAACTACCAATAAAGTGTAATTGCTCTGGGTGTTTGTGTTTGTTTTTTGCAAGCACTGGCAGGACAACACATTTGTCCACTTTTGTACATGAGGAGACATTAA